TGGGCTGAATTGCACAAAACGCATGATCGCACCGGCTAGTCTGGTGCGCGTTGCTATTTATTTTATTTGTCGCGGTTTAAAAGTGAACTAAAATTTTTGCTGATCAGGTTGATACTTTTTTTTCAGCACACTCCTTCATGATTATCAGTCATCGATACGGGAAAGTGGGGCAAGAACAATGCGCACACCTTCGGTGTATGCCGATGCTCTTCAAAAGGTAACCTAAAATAATCTTCATTCTAGCCTTCGCAGGAAAAAATGTTTAAAGAAATTTTTCGCTGCGCTGTCACACGTAGCCTGTGCTGATAATTTATTATTATTATAATCATCATCGTTGTTATTATCATTATTATTATTATCATCATCGCTGTTATTGTCATTATCATTATTATTGCCGTCATCATTATTATTGTTATCATTACTATTATCACTGTTATTATTATTGTCATTATTGTTATTATTATTATTGTTATCATTATTGTTGTTGTTGTTATTGCTATTGTTGTTACCATTATCATTGTCATTATTATTATTGTTATCATTATTATTTTATTGTTATCATTATTATTTTATTCATTAGTTGGTTTTGTCACACCACTTTGATGTTATCAGCTTTGTGATCATATTTATTCTACTAATTCTATTTATTTGTATGTAATTTCATCACCCAAAGGAAACGCTAATGGCACACACTGATGGCTTGAACGTTATTAAGATTTCACTTACGTGATTCAGTTGCTCTTCATTATCTGGTTCTTTAGTTATATAGCTGGCAACTTTTGACCATCGTTGCATCGTTGCTGCCGATCCTGACATTAGTTTGGTTTCTTAGAGGGGCTGCTAGCTTAACGGTTCTCCCTACAGAATCATTTGAGAGCTGTTCTTGGTATATGTTGAGCATCATCATCTCCTCCCGAACAACCTCACGATGAGGTATCCCCCGCCGGCTAGGAGGTGTTTGTCAAGTCGTAAGTGAAATAAATGCTTATTGAACATAACTACTTATAGTGTATGTTAGTTTTTTTGTGACTGGTAACATTTAAAATATTCAACTGGTAACAAGGAAAAAGTAGATAAGGGGCATGTAGGGGAAGGGCGGAAACAAAAGGGCTAAAGGGGGGGAGGGAGGGAGGAGGGGGGAGGGGTTTGTAACTATACATAGCTGAAAAAGGAGGCGAAAGAGAGAGGAGGATAGTAGAATGTATTATGCATATGCATTTTCTATTTCTAAATTTGTGACTAAAAATAAGTTATGTTGTAAAATGTATTGATAATATGGTTATTTTTAGGAAGCTGAAAATCTGCTGGTGTTACAAAATGCGCCAACTCCACTAAAAGGAGGCATCAATACGCCATTGCACGATTTAAATCTGCGCTCCGCTCTACCGCAAAATCGTTTTTTGGCTACACCAAATACAGTCCTATCGAATGTCACTGCTTCCCCCTCATCAGTTCTACAAAGTACCCATTTTCTGTTGATTTTATAGTTTGTTTTTTATGCGTTTTTTGCAGCTATGCAGTGCAGAAAACTCATATGGGCGAGGGGTTGTTTGTTTGTGTGTGTAATGGTTTTTCCTCTCGAGATCTATAAAAGCTACAGGGCTGAAACTTTAGGAACTCAATCTACATGCATGTACGGCCTCCATCTGTAAGATGGGCGCTCTTACCCCGTGTGGCGACCTCACATGGGCCCGCCAAAGTTTTGACCGGCAAGCTGCTAAACCAGAAAAACTAGAAAGCTGAAATTTTTAGGGGATGTTCCCCATCTACATAGGTCTTAATGAATTTAAACATATCCCTCAGGTATGTGTGGTTCCCACACGCAGGCTCGTGAAAATTTTTTGTGGGTAAGTCGCGAATTCGGGAACCAGGAATGCTAGAAAGCTGAATTTTAAGGGGCTGTTTCCTGATATTCCTGACGGCCATTTTCAATTCTTTTAGTTATAAGCGTCTACTAAAAAAACCGGTGCCGTTAGCGACAAAAACCTGCGGGGATCTATGTAAAAAACGCATCTTCTTACCGGCAGTCGGTGCGCTGGCCATTTATTTTCTTCGAGAAGGAATAGGTCCCTTCTCGTGTCCTTATCTTTTCTGTCAGCGTGTGGCAATTGGTCAGTGTAATGCAGTGAGGGATTTATGCTTTTTCAGGAACGCCGGGAGCATCGGAACCACCCACTCCAGGGACGCCATTTAGAGACCAGCTCAGCATCAACACTCCACAACAGTAAGTTTTTCTTTGGATTTTAAAAGGAACGTTCCTTATTTCTTAATCAAAGCTGAAGTTTGAAAAAAATATGCGAATTTCAGATTTTTCCATAAATTAAATGTTTAATTTAGGCAATACGAGTCACGGCGTGAATTGAAACAAGCACTGAGTTCGCTGCCTACGCCACGTAATGAATTTGTGGTTGTTTTGCCGGAAGATGAAAATGAAACATCGCAAGAGGAGACAACTGAATGGATTGAAGATGCCAGTGAAGTGAGTCGCTTTTTGCAGAAAAATAAATCAAACATTTAGGAAAATCAAGGAATTTTTTGAAATTTGAAGGACGTCCGACTTCACAACATTGTAGTATTTCAATAAAACCATCAGAACTATTAGGATTATCTGTTATGAAGCTCTCAGCACTGTCGAAGTGCAGCCGTATGCCATGTGCAGCTATGCCAGTTTCACCTCATTACTTTGCTTCGCACCTATATTTATGATT